ACGGCTTGATTTCGGATTGCATTCAGAATTTTCCATTTTCTCGGCCCTCCAGACAAAATAGTCTACCGTTCCATACGATGATTTTGACCAATGCATTTTTTTCCATGTTTGATTTATTATTCATGCGATGTGTGCTAAGATGAAAGGGCTGGTTACATTCATCCAGTTATTGTCTGTTTGAAAGTAATACTTTCGTATCCGATAAGAGTAGAGCAGAGCAGATATTACTCTTTTTTATAAAAGTACGTCATATTTGATCGATAGATGCGAACAACACTTCCTCAAATATGCCTATCAAATATATAACGATTAACCATTCATATAATCTCTTTGAATAATATACTCAATCTTGTGTTATCAAGCACAAATACCTCAATATATATAAAGGACGATGGTCGATAAGGCCGTTTTTAGGCCTCCGAAAGTTTTGAGTAATAACTACTTAGGGTTATCCAAAAGTAGTGGGCCAGGTTCTTTTTTTTTTCTTATAAATAGCTAAAAAGAAATTTCTTTTTTTACGAATAGATAGAGCGTCTTTCGTTCTATCTTTCTATGCTATTTGATCATTATTCAACTGGTATCATAATAATAAAATTTCGATAAGAACTTTTTTTGTGTAACTCCAGCTGGTAGCAATAGTGCATATTATCATCCATGTGTGTTTTCTTTGTTTTTTTCTCATCATCTAATAGGTTTTATTAAAAAACAAAATACAGCACAAGATGCAGCGTAAAAAGCTCTACAATTTACATACGACCACTTTTTTTATAGTTGCACTTTTTGTTTTCAAATTGGACAAAACTTTGAGCGACCAAATTTTGACCGTGCGAAAATTGGTAGCACAGAATTTTGCTTTTTTTGAAAACAATTACAATAAGCTTTACTATGTAAATTGTAGAGCTTTTCACACTGCATCTTGTGGTATATCTCGTTTTTAATAAAACGTATTAGATGATAAAAATATGAAATAAGAAAAAAGAACTTTCTCTTTTGTGTAGAAAAAAATGATTTTTTTGCAACGGCGAAAACTGGTCGCACAGAATTTTGCTTTTTTTGAAAATAAAAAGTACACAATTAAAATAAACTGTTTTTTGTAAATTGTAGAGCTTTTCACGCTGCATCTTGTACTGTATTTTGTTTTTTAATAAAACCTATTAGATGATGAAAACACGCATGAATGATAATATGCACTATTGCTACGAGCTAGAGTTGCACTAAAAATGTTTTTGTCGGAATTTTATTATTATGATACCAGTTGAATAGTGATCAAATAGCATAGAAAGATAGAGCGAAAGACGCTCTATCTATTCGTAAAAAAAGAAATTTCTTTTTAGCTATTTATAAGAAAAAAAAAAGAACCTGGCCCACTACTTTTGGATAACCCTAAGTATATGGTGAGTGCAAGCTCGACACAGGTTACCATCCGCGTATGGCTATTTATTATAATATGACATCAAGGTTTCAGACCTCTGTACTCCCCCCCCCCCCCTAAAGAGATAGTTGAAAAGTTTTTTCCAAAATTCATTTTTCAGACCTTTCAGGTACCATCAAATTGGCCGTGTTGATTAAGAATATCGACAACAAAACACTCAAAAATGTTATGTTGAAGCATAAACTGACCCATTTTCGGTTTAAAATTTTGGGTAAAAAAAGGGTTTAGAGACTATCCTGCTTTTGGTTGATCTTTGCGAATGCGAAAGAGTAGTGCGCCATATTTGAAAAATTGTCTTCCACTCGAAAATGTGCTAATGAACGCCATTGGAGACTCATCGACTTACAATTACAGCATACGACCAAAAATTGAAATATATATTCTGTATTGGATCTTGTCTAGGGTTTTTCACCTCCATACTACGATCTGGAGACTTAATGAGACCATATTAAACGAATGCAAATTTGGATGCTCTATTCCTGGTCAATATTTTTTTGATGTTTTCGTTCTAGATTCTTAACAGATGCGGCAACGATCTTGCAAGGATACCCTGTTTTTTCCTGAGAAAAACATAAAATCCCGACAAAAGCGTGTAGCCATGGAATTTCAGGATCTTGACAGGATTTGAAACAGAATTCAATCAGTATTTCTGATAGTTTACCACTGTTTTTGAATTAGGAATCATTCAAGAGACCAATAAATCCTGAAAGAAACGCGTAGTCCCGAAATATCAAAGATTTTTGCAGGATTTGAAACAAGATCTGAGAAGGATTCTCAACAGTTTTTCATTGTTTCTAGGTCGGGATCCTGCCAGGATTTCAATGATGCCTAATTGAAAAAAAAATTATGATTCCATCTTGCAGGATCTTACATCGTTTTCTCGAAGGTATTATCAGATTTATTGACAAGATCTTTGCAGAATTTTCTAAAGAGAACAGAAGATAAACGAACACAGAGAGTATTGATCTCTAGATCTTCAGTTTACAAACCGATCAGCTTACCCAGCTGGACTGTGCCTTGCTATTAAATATAACATCAATGTCCAAAATCTTAAATTTCAACTGATACGATAACTTCAATTGGAATTTTATATGAATATAAATTATCTGAAGAAAATTTGAAAAACAAAATATTTCATTTTAAATATTCATTCCAGTTGATAAAAATCTACTAAATCATGTTTGACTGCAATTTAATTTACAAAATATGTTTTCAACTTTTTTTTCACAGATCAATGAAATTGACAACATTTTTCATCGGAAGATTTACTTCACTAAAGATAAATATTTTATTGAAAAAAATCAATACAATAAATAACCATATGTAAACTCTCTAATTTAATAATTTTTTAAGTATTATTCAACATACAATCGGGCAGATCATTAATTTTATACCCTAAATGTCAGAGCAATTTCAATATAGATCTTGAAAAAATGTTCCAGGATTTTCATAGAATTTGTCTATTTGTTTATACAAGCATCCAAATCTGGATCAGGATAAAAATGTTAGAACGTTTCTCAATCTCAGGATTCTGTCACGTTTGAAGCAAGAACCTAATAAAATCCTGAAAAACCCTTCCATTTATTAATGTTGACATTCTACTCAAAGTTGGCATTGAAATCCGATTATGATCTATATATTTCCAATTCTTGGACGGATCCTGAGGGTGTGGGTGTGGGTGTGGGATGTGGATGTCAATGTTATTTTTAATGCGAAGAAGGTACCCATCCATAGCCATGCTCACACTTCCCACCCATACCCACATTCCATCCACACCCAACTCAAAATCAGATCCACACCCACCCAAAATTTCGCGAATTAATTTCTCTTTTATGACCAATAATCGAATTACATGGTATAAAGCTTATTTAAAAGAAAAATATTTATTTTTAACTAAAGTTAAATCACATTGATAAAATATTTTCATATTGTTTTTATTTATTTAAAGAAAAATGTCTTAAATAACATATTTTTATTAAAGAAAAATTTCTTTGATTACAAATATTATGATTTTTATTTGAAGATTAGTTCTGCAATGAGTCGATTAGTATACCAATGAATATTTGAAAATATGCCTGCCGAAACGAGTAAAGTCAATAAATCATGGTTAATGATAGTAATGGGTTTGCTTGACTCGTTTGTGACTAGCTGATACGTTCGATTGCTTAATCATGCTCTTGCCAATCCACAAATGTACTAAATTGCTCCAGTATTCGCCAACAAAATCCTCGTCAACCTGACATTCAACATCTTTTTCCATTCGCGAAAGCCATTTTCTGATTTTATCCTCGAAAAAATGTCGGTCACAATATTTAAATGTGACATGTGATAAATGTTAGGCTCGCTCTAATATCATTTTTATATCGTCCAGACACCTGCTATCAGTATCAAGACGTTTGATATGAAGTGGTAATTTCAAACAAATAGCATTTAGAGTTATTAACTTTATTCTCTTAGAACCATTGCAAGTCTATGAGTCTAAAAACAAAAATGTGTAATCTTTAAGCATATATGAAAACGAAATAGAAAACTATTCTATGTCCAGGCTTTCCGATTAGGGAGGGGTTGGGGGTCTAGCCCCCACCAAAAATTAAAAGTGCGTCCGACTTTATGTGAAAATTTCTAATTACTTTCTGCCGAAATCTGAGCCCATCCCATTTTTCAAAATAATCGAAAATCATGTCTATGTCTAAAAAAGGATCATCAAATCAGTACAGATTGGTTTTCTGTGAAATTAAGAAGTCTTTGCAGAAAGAAAATTATATTGAAAATAATTGAATTCAGTTCAAAACGGTCTACACTAACTTTGAAAAATTTAAACCGTTTGTGCTAAACAGGGCATGGGTGTTGGTTGTCGTGAGATGTCAACACGAAGAAGGATACAACCACATGGATCCCCACACCCATCATCTGAATCCAATCCTGAAGAACGAAGGTCCACAAGGTTATCCTTATATGGCATTTTTACGAATATTTAGGGCCTATGTTCTTCTTGGAACGAAGTAAAGAAAAAGTTCAACGGATCAAGCTGAAATTTCCAGCGATAACTACTAACATATAATCGAGCATTTGCTGAAAGTGTCAGGTAAATCTATCTTCACTTTCTAATTGGACCGAAATACACCTAAAACGTCCCCCGTCCTTTGTTTTTTGTCTCGTTGTTTAATCCATAATAAAGCTTGTAATTGTGGATTAATACAAAAAGGAAAACGACTTGTTTGTAAAGTAAGAATACCATTTTGTATTGAAAATTCATCGGCTGGCAAACCTTGTAATATCTATTCAAATATTTCAATATCAGCTGAAAGAAAATTTTCCATTGATTATATAACAATTCTTGACGAATTTCAAATGAAAATGGACTACAATAAGCAAGAAATGCATTTGCTAATAAACAATTTCCAATTAATTCATTTTCATAAAGTTCATTTTTTCATTTTATTATTTCACTTTTAAAAACGATTCAAAGTTTTTCAGCTGCTATACGACGACGTATAGTTATATCAGTTTCATCTTGAAATTTTAATTTATCCTCCATAGTTTTATCAAATCTTTTTCGAACATCATTTCATATATTTGTTAATTTTTCAATACTTAGTTCAAGACGATTTAATTCAGCAAGATTATTTTCATAATCATTTTCAATAAATGATAAACGATCCTTTTTAGGTTTTGTTTCACGATATATATCCATATAATTATCAATAGCATGAATAAATTTTAATAAACTTCCACCAACACGACTAACATTTGTCATTAATNACATAAAAAACTTTGTTAGTGCGTGGAGAATAACTGTAATAAGAATATTTGTAAGATAGGATATGATTCTGTTTACATTTGTTGAAACATAAAAACAAATCAAATTGAAAATATTATATAAAAACGTTTCTTATAAGGTCGAAATTAAACAACACAGAATGCTAATAAATATTACGATAAAGACAATTAACTTTCTTCCATATCTCGGAATGCTGCTTGCATCCGTTCATTAAGTTCTTCAAGATCACGTTTGATTTTTTCTTTACCAGCTTTAGTTGGATCCTAGGTATTAATTTTAAATATCAAAATAACTGATCAAAGTATATAACAATAGAATTTATCTTAAATTTCATACTACTTAACTGATGAAGAATATCTCCAAGATTTGTTCGAATATCATTCCATGTTATTTTCTTTCCCGATTAAGCTGTTGTTTCAGCAGCATGTCGAGCCAAATCATAAAATGCAATCATATTACGAAGCATTGCAACACATGTCTAAAATGGACAATATCTTTAAATAAAACAGAAATTAATATTTATATAAATAATGAAAAATCTTATTTTCTTACTTATCATATGATGAATAACCATTTTGTTGAAGAAAATCATCTTTTATCATTCGTGATACTTCAAGAGTTATTTTATCTGTTTCAACTAATGATGCTTTACCAACAAGTTGTACTATATCCGAAGGATCTTCTTTTTGTAAAATTTCTTTACACTAAATTAAAAAGAAACCTTTTGTTTTCCGATGGACAAAAACGAATCAAATCTATACTTTAGCACGTAATGGTACAAATTCCAGAAAATTTTTATCATAATAATCATCAAGAACACGTGTATATTTACTATATGAAATAAGCCAATTAACCGATGGAAAATGTTTACGTTGTGCTAATTTTTTATCTAAACTCCAAAATACTTGTACAATACTTAATGTTGCTGCTGTAACCGGATCAGCAAAATAACCACCGAGTGGAGAAATATTAAAGCAAAATAAAAATTATACATTTTTTTTTGTAATTTATCCTTATGCTCCGACAATGCTCACAGAGCCTTCACGTTCTGGATTATCCAAACATCGAACACGACCAGCACATTCATAAAATGAAACTAAACGAGTACCTAAATAAGCCGGTTAGCCCGAATCTAAAGAAAAATATTCATTAATAATTTAGAATTTTCAAAAGAACAAAACCAACCAGCAGGCATTTCAGCTAAACGACCAGAAATTTCATGTAAAGCATCAGGCCAACGTGATGTTGAATCAGCCATCATAGCAATATTATAACCCACATCACGAAAATATTTCGATAAAGTAATATCTTTAAATAAAATCAAATAGATTTTTAGAATAATCAAACAATCGAAACTCCCCTGTATAAATCGAAGCTTCACGAGCAGCAAAAGGCATATTTGATGTATTTGCGACTAAAGTTGTTCGCTCCATAATTGATACTTCTTTACCTTCAACTTACATTTTTAACTATAAAATAATTTTTATGATTAATTACATTTAAAAGATGACTAATTAAATATTTTACTTGAGGAAGATCACGTAATACTTTAGCCATTTCATTTCCACGTTGATCAATACCAACATAAACGATATCATCACTGTTTGAAAATTTCGATAGTGATTGAGAAATAACAGTTTTTTCATAACCAAAGGCACCTGGAATAGCTGTTGCACCACCTTGTACACATCTAAATATACAGAGAATTCATTTTGACAATAAAAAAGTTTAAATACATACGGATATAAAGAATCTAATGCACGTTGACCAATTAATAATGGATGATTAGCAGCAAGTTTTTCGACTACTGGTTGCGTTTGTCGAACCGACCATATTTTAAGCATTGTATGTTTTTTTTTTCCATCAAATTCCGTTTCAAGAACGACATCCTATTCATTTAAAAAAAACAATCAAAGCAAAAAAAGATTTACTTCAACAAACATCAAGTGTATAATTGCCGTCTGGTGCAATATATGTTACTAGCGGCACCCCGTGCAAAATGCACGGCTGTTTTTTTTTCATTTTTCTCAATGTAAGGATCTAGAGTTAGTAAGGGAATGTGTTTCAATAGAAGCAAAAGTCTGAAGTGCAGTTTTCAAAGAATATTTGGATGTCTTTTTGTATTTTATGAAAATGAAAAAACGATATTTACAAAACGTATCTAGAATACAATGAAAGGTTATGTACAGTATTTACAAAACCTATATACACTATTTACAAAACTTCATGAAAAACTCTATTTCTGGTTGCGTTTGTTTTACTATTTCCCTTTTCTTGAATGACTTGCACGCAGATAGATGCTAGTGAACGAACGCGTGAGAAATCAACGTAGAGTTGACGGTGACTGAATACTGGCTGTGACAGTAGTAGCCCCAATCTATTGAACGTTTGTTCTTGGGATTTATTGATAGTCATAGCAAATGAGAGACGAATAGGAAACTGATGCCTGCGCATCTTAAAAGGCAAAAATGTATCGGAAGGTGTCAAACTAATCCTTGGTGTAAGAGTTCGGCGCCCTTTGTTGGATCCTGTTGCAACTTCACAGTCGATCGTGTGATTATGCAAACGTTTGACAATAAGTCGAGTTTCGTTGCAAAGCCCTTGATTGACATCTAAATTGCGAAGAAGCATCACGATTGCACCAATCTTTAGGTTGAGCTTATGAGGCGGCATTCCTGATGGCGTAAGGCTGTTCAGAAATTCCATTGGATAATTGCTGACGTCTTTACCCTCCTCACATTCGACTTCATCCACACTTGGAGGGCTGGACCGTTTCCCCCTCTCAAAGAGAAACTGTTCCACTTCAAGCAGAAATGCTTAAACCACATAAAGTCAAAAAGAAACGCTTTTTTCCCACGAGACTACCTTCATTCGACTACATCACTAAACAAGACAACGAACAATAACAAAGAGAACTGCTACATCCATTTCTCCATTCACCAGCAGAAATCGAAAACACTTCGAGAGATATGGATCGCCTCTCATTTTTTTATCATAGCGATGTCTCTAGTGGAAATATTTCTCTCTAAATTCAAGTGTTTGTACAATATCATATAAAAGATTATATGTATATATCTATATATTTTTTTTTCTTCTTTCCATTTCTCTTTGATATGTGTGACTTTATGTGGGGTGAACCATTTCCCCACAAAGTGGAACAGTTTCCCTCATCGACTGGTCCAATGGTCCACTGCTGCTTTTGGATGTATTGAGCGATACTTTCTTATTTTCTACCGAATCTTTTTCAAAAAACATCTCATTTTACTTCATTATGGACCGTTGGTGTTCTTACTGATCTATCCACTTCTGCTGTACTTCGGGCTGATCGTCGTCTACCCGTGTGAAACTGACTTCAATTACAGGAAATTTGTCTGTGGTGGGGCGTGTTATCAATTTGAGGTGCGTTTCATCAAACGCATCAAAAGGATTCTTATAGATATTAAGTCATTGTATACTAGGTATGACAAGAAGAAAGAAAACAAAGTTTACTATTCTTCAAGTAGAAAATCTTGTTCTCATTTGTTGAATAATGTTTAACTTCTACTTTCAAAGAAGACCACTTCCTTTATCGGTGAAAGCTTCTTTTTTTTCACATAGTGTGCTAGTGCTAGACATTGAAGATTTGTCATGATGCTCATGCGCGCTGACGTTTTACGCATTCAACTACTGTTATGAATAAACAAAAACGGAATATATCGCAATCTGATTAATTTCTTTTTGACAGTTTGTTCTAGGCTTATATGATTGGCTTTCCAACGTGTGTGGTCCTGTTGTTATCGGTACTATTGCAACAACGACACTCATTGTTCGAGTCCTTCTCCAGAAACGTCGAGCGGGTCAACGACGAATCTGGCAGCGCAATCGTAAGATGGTTGTTCAGCTAGCAACCATCTCTATCATGTACATCATTATTTGGATTCCGAGTGTTGTATGCTTTGTGGTTCCACTGATTGTTCCAAACCCATTTGCCGTTGAATTAGGTATTGCTGTTCTTAGCTATACCCAGTACGTGTCTTGTCTCCTATGTCCGTTCATGTGTCTTATCGGACTGCCTGAAGTGCGTAACTCTATCAAGCAGGTGTTTACTCGATCGAATGCTGTACAACCGTTCGCTCAAAATCATGCAGCATCTATTATAACGTTACCGCAGCTTCAATAGAAGCAAAGATGTGGCATTTCACTTTTGTAATTTGTGCTGAAAAGAGTATATTTCCATTTTATCAATAAAAATACAAAAAGACTCACATAAAATAATACTCGAGTCTTTCTTTTCCTGAATACTTTATATACATGTTCGTCGGAAATGAAATGATGATCATTCAACATTCTAGTTCGAGAATTCAATTGAAGAGATTGCTCAGGATGAGGATAAGTCAATCAAAAAAAGAAAGACTGATCTGTACAGGATGGCCTAAAAATCACTAAGCAGTCTTTGATTGAGAATAACTTTTGATTCCTGTTATTTGTTCATTTAAGTTCAGGATTGGGGTATAAATGTGAGAGTGGGGGATGTATGCGTATTAGGGTAGATAGGTAGGTGTGAGTGTAGTGGTTCGTATGAATGTTAGTGTCAGTATGCTTGCAGTTCTCTCTTCATCAACATCTCTTCTGACACGCACATCCTCTATCATCGTCTTATTCGTTCCACTATCAATAGAGTAGACCGGAGTGTATGTGTATTGATGCAGGTGTATACTTCATTTCAGATTATGTGTCATTTTATGTCACAAATAGTCTGATGAAGTCAGCATTGCTTTAGAAACGACACGAAATAAATATTTATAAAAGTAGTAAGAGAAGAAATTATTTATTGAAAGATCCAATGTACTTCTTTCGTTCGAAAAACCAATCCTCACAATGGACTCTATAATTTCGAATGCGAACATCAATGTCTACCGGTGAAGGCAAAAGATAAATGTGACAAACAGAATCAAACAGTAAAATTTCCCATTGACAAATAGCGGTTGGTTTTTCATTAGTGGTGATACTGAAAATGTGTGATTTTCTGAAGGATAGAATAAAACAATCAATTGATTCTTTCCTTCTTGTAGAAATAGAAATCCTATCATGACAAATTTTTTGATGATGTTTGAGCAGAGGTGACTGAAAAGATAGAAACAAAAAGCTTGCCAGCACAGCCTCATTGAAGCTAAAATGTGAAACTCACACGTGCTATTTAGCCTCGTTATACTAATATAAAATACATTAAGAGAAGAAGCTCTAGCAGACTAGTTATTTTTTGAAGATAATTGTTTGCTAGGAAATTGATCTGTCTTATTTATTTCTGTATTTCGAACAGAATTTTTTTTTCTTTTTCTATTGGTGCTCTAGTTTTTTGTTTACCTAATAGTTGTTATTATCACTTTGCTTTCTATTTTTGTATTCCATTTTAATGAATTTAACATTACTATTATTATTCTAGTAATAGGTTTAGCAAGTTAAGTAAGCTAGTCGTGCATGTCTAATATACCTACAATACGTCTAAACGCACTATTAAATATCTCGATCAGATCAAAAACATCGATATTGATTATTTCTCAAACTATAATTCAATTAGTTCATACTTTTAATGCTGATGAAATGACAACAGCGGCAAGTCAATCTATCGTTACCCAACATAATTCACATTTATCATATAAATTTTTATCTGCACAAAAATCAAAAGCTTCACTATTTAAACTATTCAGAAACGTATTTCAGGTATTAGAATTTTGAAGATGGCTTTGAAATCTTGTAGAATTTTCTCGAATAGTCTAAACTATATTTTTAATGTTGTTCAGCGTGTTTCCCAATTGCTAAGGAACCATGAGAAAGGAGTCTGAGACCTGTCGTCCTCGATTGCTATGAAAATGTAACGAGTCACCGTTCACTCTACCGCTTCTATTGTTAGAAAAACGCACTGAATGATCGGTAGCCCTGCCTTTCTCTCATCGTTGTTATGATAGTAATGGATGAAGGTGTGGATCTTCTCTACACTCCATAATAATACTCACATTCACAGCAACAGTCATACGTCATTACCCAATCCAAACCCCTAATATGGCAAACCAACGAATGAATCCTCCACTCTCGGAACACCAAAGAGAAAGAAGCATATGTCATCCACAGAGCTCTAGCACAAAACATGTAGAACTGAGATAGTGTAATATTTTACAGAGAAGGGTGTGGAGTGTTGATCCACCTGATAGAAGAACCACATCCACAACCACACCCACCCAAAATACTAAAATGTATCTTTTAGAATTATTTTTGATATAAATACATGATGATGGGTTCTTTATTATATAATACTAAATAGAATATTGATTAGTTTATAGTAAAGAATTCATTTTCGTTTTCATGAAACGATAACAGTATTGTTTTTATGATGCGAAAAAGAAAATTACAACAAACGATTAAAATGAATGATTATAATGATATTTCTTCTCCCGCTTTGAAACGGTTACAAATAGGATTCTGAAGCGTTAACTACCATAAGAAACAAAGCATTGAATCACAACCTGTGATCTTGATTACTGAGACTCGAAATGGAGAGAGAATGAGAAGTAGGCAGCGACAAAACTTCGACTTGAAACTTAAAGTCACTATTTTCTTCAAAAATACATGTGAGCTTCACAAAAATATTTCTAACATTGACTAGAAAGCATATGAGACACCAGTTGTGATAAACAACACTTTTAGAAGAGAAATGACTAAAATTCTGGACATTATATGAATAACGAAATAAAGGGTATGCCACTATTTTACTATTTTTTTTTCTTTTCGATCATTTCAACGATATCAATCTATGCTCTTTGATGTATTGGAAAAAAATAACATCAAATGAAATTAATTCAAATGTATCCAATTCTTAACTTCAAAGGTATCTGCCTTATTCATTTAAGTGAAATGTATACTTGTCATGGTGATGTTTGAATTTGTAAATCGATATTGACTACATATA